ATTTTCACTTGGTATACCTCCACCTATTCCGACCATCAGACCAAAACGAAATAGAGCGTCCAAATGTAGAGAGAGAAGATTCCCCGGCAAACATGCAATGACGATACAGTGGCCTCCGACTTTGCCAAATGTATATGAATTATCATCAGATTCCGGCAGAGGCAAGGACTCATGGGTTTCATCCAGCATAGCCTCCGCGGCCGCCATCTCCTCCGATAAGGCGCATAGCCATCCGACAGTGTAATCATTCAGAGACCTGTGGTTTCCAGTTGCCATGGTAGATGTCGGACTGACTCAGTCTGGGATATTGTCAAGTTTGACTTGCAAAGACGGGATTGATAAGTGAGAACGTGGATTCATCAATAACGGAGGGCCTTGCGGGGAAGGATAAGGGGGGTAATTAGGACTGACTCGAAGTAGCCTTGCAGGGACTAGCAGGGAAACATGGTATGAAAATCCAATCATAGCAGCAGCCCACACCAAATTACGAGGCTGATTGATGTTTAGATACAAAAGAAGACAGACAGGTAGATTATGGACGCTCTTGACTACAATAGATAGGGTAGATCGCGTTCCTGCTAGAAAAGGATAAGTCTGCTTCCATTTCTTGATCCTCAGGAACCATCTACTCAGTCAATAAGCGTTGGGTGTAAGTCGGTCAATTATCATGGAAACTGAACTATTAACTTCAAGCAACTATAGAACCCTCGGTATTGGAAGTCAACCGGGATGATAGAAACTAGATAGTAGTCGATGAACTCCTAGATCAGCTCACACAAAGACCAAGTTCTGGCATCAGAATCAGGGTCTATTGTATATGTGGAGCAGTCCTGGATATAGGGTTATAACACGCTGTCGTTGAATCGAGTACTGAGATTCCTATCACATAAAAATGACCATTATTATCCCTTCCTACCACCCATGAAGCGTCTCGCGAGGCAGCAATGGACAAGCCGCATCTTTCTAGTCTTCGACATTTCCATGTCCTCCTACGACCCTCACAAAGAGCATTTGCCAGAGCGGAATGATCTGTCACTGATTTTTACTTTGGGTGCGCCGGTTTATCTCAACCCGCGTGATCCCTCGTTGCCACTCTGGCTCACTGATGTCGATGGCTGATGATTGAGATCACCAGGCGCGGCTGACTTGCCATGGCTGTGGCTGTGTCTGTGCTTCACTTCTCCGTCCTCTCCTTAGTTGCTATGTGCTGTTGTGACTTGGGAGGGGTAAGGCTACGGCCCATAGACTAACTAAACCAAACGGTAGGTGTTAGAGATTTTTGTCTACTAGTTCATGGTAAGATCTCATGGCTTGTACCGAGTCACTATCCATGTAGATAACTGATACACTACACCTATCTGTGATCAGGACAGTGTACTATCTAGGTATAGACCTATTGAAACCGGTTGTATTAAGTCCACATATCAGTCCAATTTAGTGATAGTATCAAAAGATAAATTAGATAGGACGGTCCCAAGCACCACGAGCCATCTTCCCATGTTACCCCCGTCATCAATTTATAAAAGTACAGGCAAATTGAATTTCAATCCCAGAAAAAGGTAAATAAAGAAAATCAAACAAACTTTTCCAAGCCAAGCGAACCCGCTGTGTCGTCATGTCACGTCATGTCACGTCAGATTATAAGAGAGTGCCTCATACCCCCTTGATAGAGAGGGGAGGGGGTAAGGCTATATAATGCACTCATATATCGTAAGATAATGAACTAGGTTGAAGCTCGTCCGATGACGTGTGGTTCTCAGTGTCGAGCGCGTCCATAGCGCGGTTGAGCTCGTGCTCACCGACGAGGATGGTGCCAGCGCGGGCTGTGCTCAGGAAACTGATCTCCACGGCGTCGAGGGACGCGTCAAGGTCCGGCTGGAGGCGGTGGATCGAGTGACCACCACCGGAGAAGGAAAAGTGGGGCTCGTCGACCGGGGATTCAATTGGAACCGCGCTGGGGTAGTCCGCGGCGTGCGTGGCGTCGGCGAGGCGGCTGGCGACGCCGCAGACGATGCCGGTGGCTTCGGGGGAAGCTTGCGCAGGTCTAGCATTACAGGGACGAGGATGTCCTCTTTGGCGCCGAGGAGGAGGCTGGAGTCGTCGTCGGGGTCGGACGAGGCGAAGCGCGGGAGGAGGCGCTTCTCGAGGAGGAGCGAGGCGGCGGGGTCGGCGGCCGTGAGGGTCAGGGAGAGGAAGCGGGGTTGGTCGACTACTAGGGCGGCGGTGAGGGCCTCGCGTAGGATGGAGATGGAGCTGGCGTCGGAGGAGTAGTGATGGTGGGCGGCGCATTGGACCAGACGGAGGGAGCGGTCGACGAACGGGACGATGGCATTCTTGCGCAAGGAGGCGAAGGTCCGGGTTTGGAGCTCGTTGAGGGATGATGGAGGTGGAGTGGCTGGGGGCGAGCGGGGGGAGATAGGGCTGAGGCTGCTGAATGAACCTTGGTTGATGTTGACGAAGGCTTCGGTGTCCATCTCGAACTGGAACCCGCGGTTGCCTAGGGCGTCGATGACCCGTTGCTTGCTGCGGAGGGGAACGATGATGTAGTCGGAAAAGTAGGTGGAGATGAAGAAGATGGAGCTGTTTGGTTAGTTTATCGCCGGAAGAAAGAAAAAGAAACGGATGGTACATACATTCCCGCCATAGCCAACGGACTCGTCAATTCAAGCACGCGCTGGCCAGCCTTAAGCCCTCCCCATACACCTGCATGGCAACAAAGTCATCCTGGCTGATAGCCAGACGGTCCGAAGACGCCGTGCCAGCGAAGCGGTGGATCAAGGGAGCAAAGTACAGGTCCGCCAGCTGTCTGGGACACATGACGGAGCACTCGACGGGGGTGATAGACAGGTTCAGAAAGGCCGACTGGGGGCCTTAAGGGGTGGGACGATTCATCCTGGACAGGGGAGACATCGTGAAAGAGCACCTGCAGGATGGGCTGGAGGAAGTAGGGATAGAGGTCCAGGGGGATATGGACGAGGGCCAGTCTGTCGTCCTGCAGTTGGTTAGAATTGAGGTTCAATATGGGGATGGTAGGACGTACCATGAACTGGACCTGCGCGGAGGTGAGGGAGAGGGAATCCATGGGTCAATTGTAATATCGCACTGATGTGGGAGAAGGATAGCAGGTCATTTCTTCTTGCGCTTGAAGAATTGGAAGAAACCGAGTGGTGTCATGGTTTGAGGAGTTAGTTACGCCATCAGAGGGGAGATGGTGGAAGGATTATAAAAGAGGAGTAGTAGAAGAAGAATAGACAGTAGAAAGTGGAGGAGAAAATGACGAGATAAAGAAACCAGAGCAGGTGACCGATTGTTCCTTTTGTCTCCTTTGTCTCATTTGCGCCGATGACTCAATCAAACTCAAATTGAAGACATCCACTGGATGCAGATTTATAAAGAAATATATGAAGAAATATATAAAGAAAAGAATAGTCACTCTGTGTATCAACCAATAACTACGGAGATTGAACATCCTTATCTTCCCCACATTATCCATTACGCTTATCTTTCTCTCAGCTCCACCGCGACAGGCGCTGCACCCGAGATCGACAAACGTCTGTCCAAGAGTTCTCCCCCATCAATTGGACATCTCTTCAAGAAGGGTGGACAGGGATCGGTGCAGTTCATGATGAATCGAATAGTGTCCATACCATGAAGTAAAGAATTCCACCCCTTTGTGGCGATCAACCAGTGGACTCTTCCATCCATACATACCAAGATAGGGCTGCTCCACAGAGGCAAATAGTAGTTTAGGTACCTGTCTCCATCAGATTACTGAACACTCTGACGAACCGACTAGTTCCTAAAATGATGTCAACTTACTAGACTATACTATACTATACTACATCCTACACTAGGTAAGGTACGAACACAATGATAATGAAACACCCCGCACAGACATCCCAAGCCCTAAAACCACCTAAGTTAACAAAGTACCTATCAACCAACCAACATACCAATCAGTACCTGTCTTCCTACCGTTCCGACGGGGTGGAGACCGGAGACTCTTGTCTTCCCTGTAGCTTGCATAAGGAAACACGATAGGTAGCCCTAACAGGGTGGCTCCTTGGCTGCGGGGTATAGCGACTATCTCAAGGTACTGCCTACTTAGTACTACTCACATAACTCTACTTAGTACATACCGGGAAACCTGACATGGTATGTACTTACCTACCCAGGTACTTATGTATACTGAATAGATAATGGGTTGTGGTGTGATTGGTTTGTGTCGTCGACTAGGTACGTTGGGTAGGTACCTGGTATAAGATGATTACCTAGCACAGGGTAGGTAGGAGGTAGGTAGGTATTAATCAATATAGACCCACAGAAGTATCTACTAAATTGGTAGTAACATACGACGCTCCAGAAGGATCTATAGCCCCGACAATGATACGCCTCCATTCTGTCCAACACTAATAGATCCACTCTCAGTAACGAAGAAAAACAACAGCGCATGATATTTCCTTTCGATAAAGGAAAACTATATCAGTCCAAAACAAACGCCCGCAATGCACAATCCGACACACACAAAGAAGAAGTAAAGCAATATACAAGCAACAACAGAAGGCTCAGGCTCATTCCTCGTCCACTCGAGCCCGCTTCGATCCACGACCCTCGGCCCTCCTGGATCCCGTAGCGCTTCTGCCCAGCTCCCGATCCGGATCCCTCCCCTGTCACGTCGGCAATCAGTTGTCGATGCCAAACGGGTCGGCTGTGTCTTTTTCGAATTGCACGGGGCCGTCGCGAGTCTGTTTTCATTAGCATAGTTCTGTAATCATACACGAAAACGTGTAAAAAGAGTAAAAAAGAAAAGGGAATTACCTCAGCATCAGCCGCACGCGGAATCCCTCCTTCGCCTTACCCAACACCTCAAACCCGTCCCGACTTCTGGATCTTGCTCATCTCACCCTCAGCCCCTGCCCCTCATCCTCGTCGTCCATCTGCGCCTGCGGCCGTAGATACTGTTGATGGCGTCCTGCGCCGCAAACAATGGCTTATCGTAAGGGTTATCCTCGTTGAAGCCCGAGTCCATCCCGCTTCGTTCTGGTTAACAGTCGCGAGTCCCACATGCCCTCCGACGACTTGCGTCGGCTTGGCCAGTCCCAGCGCCACCTTCTCGGAGATGTCGCGGTTTCTGCTCGCGCGCCATCGCCTGGATCTTCCGCTCCGTGCCCATGCGCGACTGCCGCAGCTCGCGCTCCGCCTCCTGGCGCCGCTCGCGACGCAACTGCTCCCGCTCGCGGGCCGCCTCGTCCGCACTGTCCGGGCGACGCCCGAGCGCGACGAGTAGTACGGCGACGGGCTGCGGCTGACACTGCGGGACGACGCACGACCACCGCCACCACCACCACCGCCCTGGCGGAGCTGCCGCGCGCTCCTCGCGCGCCTTCTGAGCCAACGCCCGCAGATGTTCCTCCTTCTGGGCCTTCTCCTTCTCGGCCAGCTTCTGCTGCATCTGGGCACGCAGCCCGCACCTCCTCGCGGGCGTGGCGATCCGCCGTGAACAGCGCCTCCGCGAATTGCGCGAACTTGTCGTTGATAGTCACATCCTGCAAAGCCGCGGCCATCAGCCGCAAGACGCTTATCCAGCGGCACAGTGTAACCCTTGGGATTCTTCCAGTTCGACACAGGCGGGGGGATCTTCCACGCCTCCTGATCCTCAGCGGTGAGCTTCCGGGGCGGGAGTGCAAAATCGGAGGCGGAGGCGAAGGCGGCCACGGGGGATCTTCTTATGCTTAAACTTAGGCCGCTCCATCGGATCATGCTGGCGGTCGACGATCTTCATAATGCGGTCATTCTTGCGTGTAGTATCACCCATCTGGTTGGCGGGGTGTATCGCACGAAGGTCGGCTCCGCACGGCGTCCACCCTTAACATTCTTCGGCTTCTGCGCCTGCACGGCACCGTCCACCAAGCTAGCCAGCGCGTTCTTAGTCTTCTCCATCTGCTCAGCCACCTGCTCCTCCGACGGACGGTCCAGCGAGATCTCGCCCATGTCGACGCGCTGGCGCAGCGGGATCAGGTCCTTGAAGGAGGCGTGCACGATGCGGTCATCGCTGTGGCCGCGGCGGGCGATGGCGTCGTATTTCACTTTGCCTTCCGCGTCGACTTGCACGGCTAGCGCGTTCGACTTGGACGATGTCCCTTTGCGGCCCATGTCGAGGGTACTGCGCGACGAGGATCTCGGGGAAACGCGCCACCGTCGCCGAAATCTTCGGGCGCTCGGGACGCCATCCGGTGCGGTTGCCATAGGGAGGGGGCCTGTTTCTATTATAGACTTAGCTTGCGCTGTTCCTATCGTAAATGACAATTATTAGAGACAGAATGGATCCTCACCCTCAAAACAACCTGCGTCTCGTCCAGCTGCTCGGGCCCACCACCCGCGGACCACGGGGCTGGCATGCTGTGGTAAATCCTCCTCCTCGCCGGTATATTTCGGCTTAGGGAGGGATTTGAAAAGTCCCTCCGCGATAGATGTCATGATGAGATGGGGAGGAAAGTGGGGGAAGAAGGGGGGATGGTAGAGGAAAAAGTTGAAGTTGGAGTGATGATGATTGCTTGATTATCGGGAGAAGTCGCTTTTCCTGTTTGGGGTGTGGCGGTGCGTGTGTGGCTTATATAACCAATCAGTGGCTTGTCTAGTATATCTGTACGGAGTACTACAGCGACATCATGCCTGCAACACTTCTTATTGATTTGAGTATTGAAGAGAAGAATAATAATGATAGTAATAAGGCTCAATAATACTGCCTTCTTAACGCTAAGATCTGATAAGTATAAGTATAGATATGTAAACATTAACTATCAAGATCAGATCTATACAAGCACACTATAATACATACTACGTAGTAATCATACAGACATTATACAACATTCCAAGCAACAAACCAATCCGAACAGATAGGAGAACAGACAAAACCAAAGAAAATAATCCTCACATAGTCATGCAATGCGAATACTAAATCGAATGCGACCGCATCGGACAAGCAACACCCTCACCATCTCTCACCTCAACAAAGTGCTCCTTACCATGATAAATATACCAAATCTTCAACGACTTGGACAAAAGCGGCGCGGGTCATAGAAACCCAGAATATGGAACTACATCACTCGTCAGCTATCCAAACAGAAACCAAATAGAGCCGAGTCAACAAAGTGTGGGAGAACTCACCTTAACCATATCCTTCGCAATCACAAGCTGCCCCCGATCAACCAACGCCGCCACAGGGATAGTAACATCGACGACTTCATCCGGGCGGGGCTCTGCCCTTCACTGCCGTCACGCTTGTTCTTCCCAGACGGATAGTGGCCGTACTCAGCCTTCGTGATGACGAGTCCGCCCTGCGATTCCTCCCTCGCTTGTCGGCGCCGCGTCTGCTCAGCCATGAGCTCAATCGCCTGCAGGCTGTCCGCGCGATGCTTGGGAATCAGCTTCTTCAGCTTCCGGTGTCGTTTAGCGATCGCACGGCGGCGATTCCGGCGGTCCCGGGACGGATGATGCCGAACTCGACGGCGCAGTACAACGCCCAGGGCGCGACAAGCGCGAGGGTAGACGCATCCGACGTGACAGAGTCAAGGGGGCAGACCTTAACAGGGATCTGGATCTTCTGGCCCAGTCTACTCCACGAGAAAGTCATGATCAGACCTTGGGCATCTGTCAGGCCGACGCCGAGGCCCATGCGCGTGAATTCCCCGACTTGGCGTGTTCCCTCGACGACCCACGACAGGGAGAGGTCGGCCGCGAGGGATGTCTGGATCTCAAGCCGCACGGAGCGTGGCTCGACCTCCTGCGGCAGCGGGTAGTGGCCTTCGCCGCTCCATTCGGAGCGTCGCGGTTCGTTGGCCGCTTTGC